GCGCGTAAAAATACAGACAAATTTTCCAATTTAAAATTATATGTGTATTAATGATATTTAATATTCGGTCAAATCATGATTTATTTCTTTTGCATTATATACTTTTGAGTTAGTATTTTGTATTTTAAGACACTCAAGATTAATTTGTATGGTATAATTGTCTTTTGAAATCTAATTATTATTAATTTTATTTAAAAAAAGAAAAAGATTTTATCACCTTATTTAGTCTTTATATTTTTAAAATTTATGAAAAAAATTAAGATATCATTTTTGGCAGCGTTCTGTCATTAGTATTAAATCTAATAAAATTGAGATTTACAATGTGTTTATCGTATTTTATTTCTTCAATGTAAACGTGTTTTTAAAAAATTTGATAGAACTTTTTTCGGTTTTTTACATCGTGCAAAAAAATTTCGCGATTTCCCGATAACCATTTATCTTGTGCCAGATCTCGGACTGGCGTTTCTCCGTTTCGTTCTAATTTATTATCAAGTGCAACGTGCGGCCGTGAGTCACATGACAAGCCGCCGCCGACGATCGAGACGGACATTCACGCACATTGTTGCACGAGCGGGGAACATGCGTGAATGTGCGAGTCGGACACACTGTAAACAAAACGTGCCTCTTAGCGAGGGAGAGCGAAGAGTACAACGACCTGCGCTATTGTATGACGTAGCTTTCGGATCAGCTGACGCTGCGGAACGCATCGTTCGCTTATCGCGCGCGCGATTGTTTAGAGACATTCAGTTCGCTCGAACGATTACGTTATTCTATTATTCTATTATTTTCCGATTATAAAAGAATGTATGCGTTCTTGAAAATATCGTCGTAGCACGAAAAATGTATGTTAAATATTAAAAAATGTATTTAAATATTACTTCTGACATAAAAGACAGCTTTAAAAAATTATTAAGTAAAATTGTCTAATAATCTCTAATTATTAAAATTTGCTATGTATAAATTTTCTATAAAAGATTCTAACGAATTTAAAGATAATCAATATTTTAAAAATCGTCAAGTTCCTTGTATGACAAAGCATTATCATTTTTCTAATTGCACAAAAAATATTTTAGAAGAGATACATGAGATTAATAAATATGTAAAATTATAAATTTTAAAATTTATAAGAAAAAATTTTATAAGAAAAAACTCAAGTTAATATTCTTATATTTATAACAGTAATATATATTGTTTTTAAACATTGATAATAATATTATTTAATATAGATTATCATTTTTGTATTTTGCCTACACATATTTCATCCAAAAATATATGTATCAATTATATAATTTTTTAAAATTCACATGTAAAAATCAACATGTAAAAATATATAAAAAACCATCCATTTGTGCACAATATCTATGTATAAAAATATTAAATAATGCTTCGACTCAACAATTAAACTTAATAAAATATTACTTAATAAAACAGGTTCGTCCTTGTGTACTGTTTTGGTTTTCACAAGCGAATGTAATATCGATAATCGCATTTGTAATATTTGCGTATATTTTGACATAGATAGAAACGTTGGGTTAGATTAGGTTAGGTTACGTCCTTACACAATAGATTGCAAGCGGTTGCTTTCATTGTGACGCTGACTCAACGATACGCATTAATTAAGGATTTCAATTGTATCATCACTCACGCGAGAAACTCTTATTTCTTTCCCGATTTAATATTCTTTGTTCTCGTTTCGCATTAATTGTGCATTAATTTAAAAATGTTAGTGACATTATCTTACCTTTACTCCGGATCACTGTTGACTGACGTCCTTCTTCTTCCTCCCCTCCTTCTTTCCTTCTGGATTTAAACTTCTCCGGCCTCTTACGACACTCCTTCGTATCCACTACGAGGATCCCGCTGTCGAAGGTCCTACCAAACATGGGAATGCCTGTCGTCGATATCTGGACGCGATGACACAATCTTCCACCATGGATGAGAGAAAAGGAGAGAGAATTCCCTGATGGCCGTTCAACGACAGATCCGATCGCTTCGTCAGCTGATCTCAAATTCCAGCCTTCGTATTTTGTTCTCTTTGTCATGACAGCGAACTGTCGGAAGCGAGCGACACGAGAGAGCGAGAGGGATAGATATACAAAGAACGTATATATGCGCGGTATCTATAGAGACCACCGATCGAGCAAACGGTCGGGAAACAGAGTAGGCGACGGGATCACTATACGTGAGAATCGGATGGAACATCTCGCGTCCGATGTCACATTAGGCGACACGTGTGCAGCTGCCGCCGCGCGAGTAAAAATAAACTCTGCACCGGATTTTCTCGAACGGCGGACGATGGCGATGGCTCGGGGTCGTACAAGTCGACCCAAGTAGATATGCGACGTTTTTCCCGGCTATGCCGGACGTCGAGTCGTATACTCACATAACGAGACGCGAGACGATGGACGATATCATATTAACGGATCTTGCGGCTCCGCGGAACGCGCGTGAACGGCTAGAAATGAACGACTAAATGCGGACGGCCGTCTGTAGCACCGCTGCTCACAGGTCAGCCATGTTGGACTGGCAGCTGGCTGGCTGCTGCTGCGCGTGTGACGTCACGGCGTGTTTTGATCACGTGATGCGTCAGTCCCGTATAGATCGCGAATTTAATCAAATGCGATATATCGACAATGATATTAGTAAATTTCTGATGATAAATATTAGGTGAATTAAATCGTTTTTGTTTATTCTTTTTTTTCTTTCATTTTTTACGTGTTCGATCGAAAAAGCCAACAAACATTGTTTATCCTGATTTTATATTTTTCATTTATCTTTTTATATTTGAACTTTTCAATCTTGCATCGAAATTTTGAAGCAAATGCGTTTCGAAAATATATTGTAATGAGAATTATATTCGAATATTTTTTTGCAAATCTCGATATAATTTATGTTATCATTAATTAATTATTATAATAGCTCAAAATACAATTTTTAATAAATAAGTTGTAATAAATTGTAATAAATAAGCAATTGTAATAAATAAGCATAAAGAAACAAGTAAAAAGGTTATTTTCAATTAATTTGAAAAAATTTTAAATGCCAATTGGAAGCATTATGAATTTTTAAGCTATTATAAATTTCATTGATATGCTATATTGAAGTACGATTAATTGCAGTTCTTTTTATATATCATGCAATATATTTCACTGACAATGAGATTTTTCCACATATCTTACCGATTTTAAAAATTGCAAGCATAAAACCTTTTCCAGCAATCCGCTAAGCGCGTAAACACACTAATTTTCCAGTTGCAAGAAAGAAAAGAATAAGAAAACAAAAACTAGGATAAGAAAATAGAAAAAGAAAGGAAAAGAACAAGGAAATTCCATTGGCAACACGTCTTCTGGTTCACCACGAGATTGCAAACAAACACAAATCCTGCGGTGAAAAAGGAGTAAATGTTGACTAAAAATCTTGATAATTATACGTAAATCTTACTACAACAAAATATAAAAGAAAGGTTGTCTTCGTGTACCCGCATTCTCATAAATTTTCCACCAAAAAAGAAGAATAGTATCGAAATAAAAGAGTAAAGAATTTGATTCATATCGTGAATATCGAACGCTTTTGTATTTAGTGCAATGTATAAAATATTAATAACAAAATTTAAAATATAATTAAAAACTCATAAATTTAGAAATTATTTTATCTAACTTGAAAATAAGAATAACATACATTTTGATTCAAGATAAAAGAACATAAGAGAATTTTCTCTCCCAATTTTTAAGAATTTACATACTTTTAGGCATGGAAATCGAATCAAAATATATAAAAATATATAAAAATATATGTATAAATTTCTATGAAATTCTTTAATTCAAATCAAATAATCAAATTCTTTAATTAATTTATTTAGTTTCTTCAATATTTATGATGCTCGAATGTAATTATATCTGCAACTTAAATAAATCCAGTGGCACAAATAATCGCGCAATATATTGTAAATAGGAAAGTTAGCTATATTACATTTGCATTAATATTTTGGAAACTTTGGAATCAGATTAATTTTAACGAAACTGGAAATAGCTACAACAGGATCGGAGTAACTCTTATGGAATAAAATTGCGATGTTTACGTATCGCGTGGGGTTTCACATCGAGATGTTTATGATATAGATTTAATCATCGTGAAATTATCGAATCAATAGTTATAACTAATACTATCGTTGTAATTAATACTGTAAATGCTATAGTCATATAGTCATTATATTACGATAATTATACACAGTATATAACTATACATATTACAGTATGAGTATAGAAATCTTATCACATTCAAATTATAATTTTGATATTAGGAATAAAATATCTTGCAAATAAGTAGAATAATCTTTCTATTAGACATTTATCTAATCAAAATATAACAAATGTTAAGGTATAACAAATGCTTTAAAGACCAAGCTGAAAATTATTCCTGTTATCGAAAGATAGAAATTTACGTTTTTCAAGAGAAATATTCGCGTCGGGAAAGAAAGAAAGAAAGAAAGAAGAAAAACAGAAAACGGTGAAAAAAACGCTTGGGGGTTATACGCGGCATATGTACGTCGATATAAGTGAGTACAGAACAGTGCAGAACGCGAATATGCGTGTCGCACACGCGGTGGGAGAAGGTATAGGCAACAACGATTCCCCCCAGGCGTCCTCCTCCCCGCAACGGTGTCTCTCTCTTGCCACCCGCGCGCGCGAGCCCACGCGTCTAGCAGTTGGTACTACGGGTTTAAAACACCCTACCTTCGTGACAGTCTCGTGCGATGGATAGCAGCAAAGTGAGGCGCGACGCTCCGCGCCTCGGCGCGGAGTGGGGTAAAGGAACCGAGAAAAAGGGTAGAGGGGAGTGAGAGCGCGCGCTCGGTCGGCTACGAGGGGCCGGAGGTGGGGGAACGTGTCGGGGCGGGAGAAGGCGAGATAGACGGGTGGGAGAAGCGCGCGCGCGCGGCGGGGGAAGGGTGTACGGGCCGCGGGAAGGAGCTGTGCCTCCCTGCCGTCCGCCCGCAGTGCGCGCTACGCGATATCACTGGTCGGTCATGTGTGTGTCACTCTCACGTTCACATTGGTACCGTTCGGAGTCCTTCGTTAACCGCGTTGGTGGTATTGCTACCGCCGCCGTTACCGTCCACCGTCGCGTAGTGTGTGATGTCCGATAGTGTTACACCTGGTGTGCGTTCCGGAAGTTGAAAGTGTGTCCGGTTCGAGTAGGCTCTGTGCGCGGACGTCAACAGTGCAGGAGAGTGCTCGCTGTCATTCTTTCTCTCTCTCTCTTTCTCTCTCCCTCTGTCTTTTGTCACATCGGTCGTCTTGGACCGATCGCGCGCGCATCAGGATATATTATATACCGATAATACGAAAAAGTGCGCGCGCACGGTCGGTGGCGCGGAGAAACGCGCGCGCGCCGGGAGAGCGGAGAGAAAACACCGTGAAGTAAGACGCGAACGAGACGGCGAAGATCGCGCCGGACAGAGAGGGAGAGGTACGTTTGAAGTTGTGCGCGAGCGAGTCTCGTGGCTGTTTTCACGGAGAGAAGTCTCTCTCGCGCGCGCGTCCGCCGAACGCAAGGAGAAGCAAGGAGTGGCTACGCGGATCGGATAGTGCGTTGGTGAAGGAAGGAGCGAGATAGGGAGAGTGACCGGCCGTCGCCTCATGGCTCTGTTGTTTAATGGCCCTTCGTGATCGCGCGCGGCAGGAAGAGATCGGCCGCGAAGCGGTGCCCGCTGCCATCGACAAGTAGTGATCGTTTGTGACAGTGTTCGCCGTTGCGTCCCCTCCCCCTTACCCCTGCTCCGACCCCGGCCCCGGCCCTGGTGTACGGTGCGTGTGCTCGTTGTTGTTTTTCTTTTGTTTTTGGGGGCGAGGCACGCTCCTCGGAGGATAGAAGGAAAAACCGGGTCGGTGACAGGGGGGCCGGGAACGAGAGAGCGAGTGGAGCGAGAGAGAAGACGGAAGAGGAGCGGGAACAGTGGGGGTGGGAGACAGGGGGCGCCTACTCTGGCGCGGCAAGGGGGGGAGGGGGACGTACGAGGGAAAGGGTGACTGGCGGACCCGGCTGTGGCGATCCGAAGTCGCGGATTCGGCACGCCACGGTGTACCGATCGTAATATGGCGTACAAGTTTCGCGAGGAGATCGTGGGAAAGAGGTTTCTCTCGGTGAGTGATTTCACCAAGCTGAAGGTGAATAAGATTAGTGAGTGGGGTTGGCGTGCGGGAGTGATACGTGCTGCCAGTCATAGGGATAACGGCTGTCATGATCTTCAGGTGAGTGAAAAAACATCTCTCATATTTCTGTCGAAAATGTCTCGAATCGCGAAAACGTTTATTTAGAAACGAATTATCTTAGATTCGTCCGTGACGTCGATGCCGTACATTCCTCGATCTGACGTCACGCGTGCGACGTCTCGCGCCGCGCCGTTTGTGTTTACATCAGCGCGTGACCTTTCGTGCGTTGTATACCCCAAGTACGCTCGCCGGCTCTCGACGATTACTCCAACGTATCGCTCGCCTTACCTTAGACATGTATTGTTACGGGAAATGGAATTCATCGTCCACTCCGCAGAATTCGATGGTAAATATCCGGGCAAACGCAATATTATATAAATAGATTGAATATATTTAAATAGACAAATATTGTTTTCGCCAATATCATTTTCGTAATTCTTGAAAATCTTTTTCTTTTTTGTTCTTTCTTATCAAAATTTTATTATATTTAAACTAATATACATATGAGCATATATTTTAATCATATGTTTTAATATATTTTAATTATGAACAAAATAAAATATATCATCATATAATTTATTTTGTTCGTAATATTGTACTTTCGGAAATGATACAATGATATCGTAACGTTTCGAATCAATTATTTGCAGACGATGAAAAGGCAAATTCCTAATTGCGAATAATATTTAAATATATATCACGAATGTTTTTGCACATTTCTAAGAATTATAATCGTTTTATTAATATTTGCGAATATAATATTGGGGATTCTTGTTACCTTTCAGCAAGAAACACATTCGAGACGAATAAATTGAAAAAACGTTCTTGAAAGTATGAAATAGTCGGTTGATGCGATGATTGCTTGAAATTTATGTGTATATTTTTTAATGCTATTATATATATAAAAGTATATAAATGTTTGCATATTTTCGAAGAACATTCTTCGGATGTCACGTATTTTAAATAATAGGTATAAAATCGTTAATCTATATCGAAATACTTCACAAATATAAGTATAATATGTGCTCTATATATTATATAAATTTCGATATATCTCAAATTTATATTATCACAGAATTGCATATTTTATTCATGCAATATATAATTCATACAATAGAATTGCATATATTATTCATATAATATAATATTACATATCATCATGCTTGACTATTTTTAACATGTGGAAACATAATTATTAGAGACCGGTTTCGTTCAATTGCAATGTCTACATAGTAAATTTCTATATGATAGTCGCTATCATCGATATTCTTCAATATTTTAATCGATATAATGAAAAAAGATCAATTTAAAAATAGATCTTTAGATAGAATCTTTTTTTTGGCAATATATTAAAATAAAATTTTGTTGAAATTCCGTGATTTACAAAGAGTGTACATATTTTAAACAAATATTTCATATAGACGTAGTTTTTTATAATTACAAATTACAAATTTTGAAGCTCAAACAAAAGAATTTATGCTCGAAGAATTCGCGATTGTCGGTTAATATAATTACGCGAATTTATCTATCAGATCTTTTTCTTTTTTTAAATCGAGTCACAACTATTTCAGTTTTCGAGGACATTGGCAACTTATGTATCAACGCCATTTACACATCGAGACTCATACATTCACGTACGTGATATCTGTACACGCTCGACGTACATGTTTTGCGTTACTTGGCCAGTAATATTTGCCAATTATACCTTAGCCAAAGGCCGCAGATTATTATGCCGGTGAAGCGTAAAGTCTCGGAAAATCTCAACCTTGCAGGCCGATTTTTCCATTGCTTTACAACACCGAAATTTATGATGTTGGATTTCGATTCGAATAAATTGCGTGTTGAAACAGTCATCATCGCGATTTGGTTACGCAATGAATCAAATTTCGGAACACTCAGATACCCGCGCGCAAAATTAATTCAGAGTACTACTTTGGTGGCAGTACTTATTTCTTACGTAAAAGAAACAACTGCCCTCGGACTACTCATTGATCAATGAAATCATCTCGATAACATTAATTTATTTATGTATTATTATAATAATCAGCATAATTATCGAGATATTCTCGCAGAAAAGTATTTTCACAAATCTCAGTTAGTATTTTGGTGAGGAAAGATTGCTATAGTTTGAGAACATTTATTACGAGAAATATGGTTGAAAAAATTGTTTCCTAATATTTATATTAAAATATTTTAACGTAATAAGAGAGCAAGAGAAAATTAAATCTTTCTATATTTTATCAGTATCAATTGAATATCTGGACAAATTTTATTTCAAATGGCTGTAATACATTACGTGTATTAATATATAAAATATATATATATATATATATATATATATATGTATATAGAATTACAGTTTATTATCTACGTATAATAACGTCCTATCTAAAATACTCAAACTGATGATGACTACTATCTGATACGTAATTTAAATATCTAATCTAAATAAAAAATATCAGCGAGATTATTTTTTCTTTAATTTTCCATTTAAATTATCTACACAAAATATCTAAAGTCTTAACTAAATACATAATATATTATGCAAAATATCTAAAGTCTTAACTAAATACATAATATATTATGCAATCATTATTTTTTAATATACAAAAATTAGTCCTTCTGTATATATTATGTTTAAGTAGATATATAACAAATAGAAAGATAAACTATTAAAATTTATACAAATTTTACTTGCGAGTCATATTCATATTATGTAATAATTTTTGTCAATGATATATGCATGTCGGAGGGGGGGGGTCAATCACTATTCAAAAAATGTACAGTGATTCTTGACAATACAATAGTATTTTATTGCTTACATTACTATTGTATTGCTCCTGTATTGTTAATAATGTTAGTATTCCTATTATTATTATTATTATTTTATTGTCAATATTATTGTTTTATTGTCAATATTATTATCTTATTGTCAATATTGTCAGTACTGCCGTAGAATCACAAGAGTATTTCTAGTGCACATTACTTTTGTTCTTATATTATTTTTCTTACATATGCTAGTATTATTTCAATATATATTTTTCTAAAACACGTATTTTCTAAAATTATATTCACTGTCAGTACTGCCGCAATTTATTTCTAATGAAATGTACAATCTTTTCCATAGTGGTTGACCCTTTGGTAATGTAAACTATTAAATTTAAAATTTAACAAAAAGAACTTGATAGTTTTACTTACTTTAGTTATATATTTTATATCATTTCTTCATTTTAAAAGAATTCTAAAAAATTTAACAAATTAATATTGCATTAATTAATATTACATATTAAAATTGTATATTAAATTAATATTGCATATATAAATATTAATTATTATACACTAAAAATCTATGCATTATTCCACGGTTTAAATATTCCTCCCGTAAACTATTTCATTCACCCAATTCCACACCGATTGTCAGTCGCGATGCAATCGATCTCCGACACTCGGAGTTAATAATACCAGTACTTATTCGCGAGACTCATTAACGGTCGCCCGGTTTCAACTATCCCTAATGGCTCTCGCGGCGTCTGCGAATTTATTGCGGCGCCAAGGAGCATCCGGACGCCACCCGGAATGAATTTAGTTGACATCTGTTTAGTATTTGCCGCTCTAAAGGGTCAACGACTACAAATGCCATTAAATATTCCGGGGTCATCACCGCGCGGACTCGCAGATGAGTCCGTTTTCCGGTTTTCTCGTTTCGAGAAGTGCTTTCGCGCTTTCCGGCTTTGTAGGCGATCTTGTGGTTAATGAAAGCTTCGGTTTCAACGGAGGTGAAAGTTATCGAGCCATCGTTTTTAATGGCGCGAGGTCTCCGAAATAAGTAAAATAGTTTTTCTCGAAGAAAAAAATTTTTATTTTTCTTTTCTCTCCCTCTCGCACACTCTGCTTTTGTATATATGTTGATAGTGTCGACGATAAAGAGAAGCCTTGAAGTATTGACAAGTCGTTGAAATATCGAACGCGTAGAAAATAGGTGTTTTATCGATAAGGGCGTCCTGGTATGAGAGTCTCGCACGCTCGTCACCTTGAAACTTCTCTATGCTAACTTTAGACATGAAATGATGCATAACTCAACAATGCACTATAAAACGCAGTCTGGGACAATAAAATGTGAGAGACGTAGTATGTAATCATGTAAAATAATTTTTTATTTTGCTCAACGATTTTGTTTGAAATCATATACATCTCTCAAGAAAATTCATATATTCGTATTCAGCTCAAAATTTTGAGCTTTTTATGAATACGAATTTTATGAATGTGAGCTTTCCCTTTTTCCCCAAAACATTTATGGATAAAGGAAATTTTTTTATAAATACTCAAATTATATGAATTGCATCGAAATGAATTTTCTTGAGAGATGTATATAATTTCAAACAAAATCGTTGAGTAAAATAAAAAATTATTTTACATGATTACATACTAACGTCTCTCACATTTTATTGTCTCCGACTGCGTTTTATAGTGCATTGTTGAGTTATGCATCATTTCATAAAGTTAGTTAGCATAGCATTCAAGAAATTTTGAGCTTTTTATGAATATTTTAATACATTCGAGATATAAAATTGTGATTTGTGGATCACTAAAAATTATAAATATATATCTGTTTGGAGAGAAAAATTATCAAGAATTATTAATTACTATTTTTATTCAGATATTATATTTATATCATTTTATATATAAAAAGTTTAAAATTTTTGATGAATTGTATCATTGATGTATATCGTTGTATTATTATTTTCGTTATTTCACAAACCTGTTTTTAATAATTAAAATGTATTTTCTGTAGCTTTATTTCAATTATTTTCCGAAAAATACTCCATTATATTGAACAATTTTCCGAAAAATGTCTATTCAAGAATTAGTTTTTGTCGTTTGAAAATGTATCATGACAATAATTTTGATATAAAAATTTCTCTCTCTTCCTCTATTATTTTGATACCGCTTCCTTCGTACACCTGCCACATCTTGGAAGAAGCACCGTTATACTTCGTGCACGAAATATACGAAGTGCCTGGAGAAAGAGAGAGAGAGAG